TCTTCCTGCTGAACATAATTTCGAGATTTGACGTCGCGCTCAGATATCTAAAAATCCACTTAATAGCATTTCAATGCTTCCTTCCAAGATTACTCATGTATCGACTGACAACACTAACAGCATGAGATAAATTCGGCCTGCTACAAACCATAGCATACATGAGGCTTCCGACTGCGCTAATATAGGGCACCAGAGACATCTACTCTATCTCCTCATCCGTATTGGGACACTGCCGTTCAGATAACTTAAAGTGACTCGCCAATAGAGTGCTAACTGACTTGGCCTTTTCTATGTTGAAAAGCTTCAGCACCTTTTCAACATACATGTTTTGAGTTACCTAGAGTTCACCTACACTTCTATCTCTATGAATCTCGGTACCAAGGATCCAATTAGCAGCCCCTAGATCCTTCATATTAAACTCAAAACTTAACATAGACTTGAGAGAAGTTATGTCACATGCATTCTTGACAGCGATGAGCATGTCGTCAACATAAAGCATCAAGAGAATAAGGGAATTATCATTAAGAATTTTAAAATAAACACAACAATCATACTCACTTCTTGAATAGCCAATCCGCACCATGAAAGAGTCGAAGCGCTTATACCACTGCCTGGGAGATTGCTTAAGACCATAAAGCGATCTCTTGGGCAAGCAAACTTAATATTCCTTTCCATGCACCTTGAAGCCTTCAGGTTGCTCCTTAAAGATTTGTTCCTCCAAATCGCCATAAAGAAACGTTGTCTTCACGTCAAGCTGTTCTAGCTCCAAATCAAACATGGTTACTAAAACAAGTAATATCCTTATTAAAGTGTGCTTGACAACCGGAGAGAATATTTCATTGTAGTCCACTCCCTCCTTCTGAGCGAAGCCCTTTGCTGCGAGCCTAGCCTTGAATCTCTCACATTCTTTTTCTGTTGCTGCCTCTTTCTTTTGAAAGATCCACTTGCCCCCAATCACTTTCCTTCCCTTGGGCCTCTTGACAAGCTCCCAAGTCTTGTTCTTTTTCAGAGACTCCATCTCCTCCATCATGGCAGTCATCCATTTATCACTTTGTGCATCACTTAGAGCATCTTCGGATGAGTTGATTTCCCCAGCACCAACTGTTAGAGTAAAGGCTACCATGTCTTCAAAGCCGTATCTCACAGGGGCTTTGTGAATACGCTTCGTTCTGCCTTTTGCCAAACTGTAGGGTTCACCATGTGATTGCTGCTGTTCTGGTATGCTGCTAGATGATTTTTCCTCTTCTGGTGTTTCAGACTCTTCTAGCTCCTCCTGGACCGTTGATTTTTCTTCATCACTTTCATCTACTTGCACTTTGTTATCTTGCATGTTGATTGACTTCACCATGTGAGATTCATCAAACACAACATTCCTGCTAAGCACAACCTTATGTGAAGTAGGATCCCAAAGCTTGAATGCCTTTACTCCCTTCTCAAAACCTAGAAAGATGCATTGCTTAGACTTAGAGTCTGTTCTAATGGGAAACGATGCAGTATGCAAGACCATTGGAATAGGAACTATCAAAATCAAGATGTTTGATGGGATAGTACGAACCTTATCAGATGTGAGGCACGTCCCATAATTAAAGAAAAACTTAATATCTCTAGAGGCTCTTGATTTGAATGGTTGCAAGTATACAACAACAGGTGGAGTCTTTAAAGTTAGTAAGGGATCTATGGTTGTCATGAAAGGTCAGATGATTGGGAACCTATACAGGTTGATAGGGAATCCAGTTACAGATGGAGCTTCTGTAACCACAGATATTGAGTCCAACACAGATGACACAAATCTGTGGCATATGCGTTTAGGGCATCTGAGTGAACGAGGTATGATGAAACTTCATAAAAAAAAATTGTTGAAGGGTGTCAGAGCCTATAAACCGGATTTCTGTAAGTATTATGTTTTCGGTAAACTGTGCAAGATTAGATTCAAGACTGCAATTCATACGAGCAAGGATATACTAGACTATGTACACACTGATGTATAGGGGCCTTCACCAATCAAATCCAAGGATGGGGCATAATACTTCATTACCTTCATTGACGATTACTCAAGAAAGGTCTGGATTTACTTCATGAAACACAAAAGTGAAGCATTCACGAAGTTTAAACAATGGAAAGCAGAGGTAGAAAGGAAGACAGGAAAGAAACTGAAATGCTTGAGATCAGATAATGGAGGGATGTACAAGTCTAGGGAATTTCAAGAATTCTGTAAACAAGAGGGGATTGTACGTCACTTTACCACATCAGATACTCTCAGTAAAATGGTGTGGTTGAGAGGATGAACAAGACTCTTTTGGAAAGAGCTCGTAGTATGAGATTGAATGCAGATTTGAAGAAAAGTTTATAGGCAGAAGCAGTTAACATGGCATGTTTCATCGTTAATAGGTCACCATCTAAAGCGATTGATTGCAAAATTTCAGAGGAGATGTGGACAGGAAAGCCGGTAGACTACTTTATGCTGAGGATCTTCAGATGTCTAGCCTATGTCCATGTGCAAAGTGGGAAATGTTCCAAATTACTGAAGTTCTGCATCTTTTATTGAGGACTATAAACTACACCCACTTTCTCAAATTGACCCAGTAGTTTCCATGACCCACAGTCCACTAGGGATTCATGATTGGGCTACCAAAGTCAGCCAACAGGTGAGGGGACACAATCCTAGTCTATGGATTACAAGTTCTCCCCTAGAGACAAGTCGTAGGTCACATAGACCTGTGTACACACAATTCAAATGGTGCATATAGGGTTTATCTCTCGCACATGTACACGTATCACCCTCAATGGTGATTTGCTTCCTGATACGGCTATCATGTGTACATGCCGTCTGATGATTTAAGATGAGGCTTTGGCCCTCGTCCCTACAGGCCCCCAAATCACATACAAGGATCACACAATCTCTTGGCTCACCACCCTAGGCAACTCTGACCTCATCAAGGGATAACCTGCTAACCCTTATCGGTTGTGCTCTAGGCCTAGGCATTTAGGGTTTTGTAACTCGATTGGCCTAGCTCGTTAAGCTTAGTTTGAGTCTCGGCAAACAATATTTGCCGATCTCGATCCCTTTGAACCGTAAATCAAGGCAAAATTATAAATAACCCCCAAGAATAGACTTTCTATGCAACTTACCCCCAACCAAACTTTTTTTCACTTTTTACCCCAAATTTAACTTTCCTAACAAATACACCCCAAGTCATAAAAAGATAAAATAAAGATAAAATGAAGACCAAAATACCCTATGGAAAGCATGCGGTCCAGCACAAAAGGGGGGTGGTCCGACACTTTGCTTCTGGAAAGCATGCGTTCTGGCACAAAATAGGGGCGGTCTGGCACATTGGGCATGCAGTCCGACACAAAATGGGGGCGATTCGGCACTTTGCTTCTGAAAAGCATGCGGTCCAGCATAAAATAGAGGCGGTTCGACACTTTGGGCATGCGATCCGGCACAAAATGGGGGCGGTCCGACACTTTGGGCTTTTGAAATGCATGTGGTCCGACACAAAATAGGGGTGGTCCAGCACTTTGGGCATGCGGTCTGGCACAAAATAGTGGCGGTCCGACACTGGGCATTTTCGTCAAAAAAATATGACATTTTTTACTTTGGGGGGCATTTTTTAGAAAAGTTCAATTTAGGGAAAAAGTTGCTTAAAGAAACTTTGTTGGGGGTAGGTTGTCTAGAAAGTTTCATTTTGGGAGGCTAATGTATGAGCTTGCCCAGTTTACATTAAACAAGCTGAAACATGAGGATGCCCATGTGTTGAAAACTATATTCTTTAGAAGGAAAATGACTTAAGATACTACAACATCCTTCATGTGGCATGCAAGCGAGGAGATCTGGTCTAGTGATTGGTAGTTAGATGTGATGTGGAACCTATCGCTGGTATGTTCGTAGATTCTTCAACAACTGCTCTTGATCTAGTTGTGATTATGCTCAATAGGAGTCTCCACAGGTCTTGATCCCATTTTCCACATTTTCTTCTGCAAGTCCTTAACATGTTTCCTTTGCAAAATAAGGTGTTCCTTATTGGGTGGGAAACTTCAATGCTGAGAAAATATCTCAACAATTGGAGTCCATAAATTTAGTATCATAAGGTGTTTCTTGAGTTGTGTAGGATTCTCGATATCATTACATAGTTGTGAAAATAGCCAGAATAAACTGACGTAGTAGTGGGACTTTCTTCCTAAATTTATAAATTAAACAGTCAGCTTGACTCTATCATTACCCATTCAACTCTTCATGGCCTGCATGACTGCTTTATATTTTAATGTGCAGACCTTGAAACTCTCACCTTATCATACCGGAGTGCTAGCAATTGATGACAGACTTTCTAATGTGAATACCCACATAAAAGAGGATCTTTGATATCAAATTGTAAAATTGCCGCCTTTTGTTTGCGGCTATAGAGAATTCATCATGGTATCGAGTGTTAATGGATTTATATTGAGTGCCATATCTCTAACTGGCATGTCTCTGTTTTGAGGTCAGAATGGTCTTCCGTTTGTGCCATTGGCAACAATTTGAAATGTATTTAGGCATTTAAGCCCATTAGTGATATTCTATTTATGCAGTTGTGAAGTTCCCATTTGATATCGCTTTTTATATCTTAAACATCTTAATTGTCATCTTATTTCGTCTAAGCATGATTTTTTCTTCACTTTTTCTTTTTGCATCTCTTGTCAAATCCTAGCCCTAGTACAATGAACTTGATGATCTACCAGTTCTCTTATGTCTCTCTTTGGATCTTAATGTGGGATCTTTTCCCTTGGATAAAATTCCTTTGAAACTAATAGACCATGATAAGCTGCATCATTGTAGAATGGTCCTCGTGTTATCCAAGTTTCCAAGTTATGGTATTTTTAGAGTTTTAATGTTGCATTACTTTTTTTTATTTGGATGCTTGTATTGCCAAGGTCTCAGTTTGTGAAACTTTTAGGTTTTGGAGCTATATGATTGTCTGCTATGTTGTGGTTTGATCTTCATTTCCATTCCAATGTGCTAGGTGGAGAATAATATTCCAGAGCTAAACCCAGAAATGGTAAATCTCATTCTTTTTCTTGATTTTATTGCTACTACACTCTTTTTCTTCTATTATTGAGAGTTAGAATTTTAATGGTCTTTGATTCAGGATGTTTACAGAATTGGCACGCTAATGGAACTAGTCCGAACTCTTGCGCTCTCATTTGCTGATGATGGAAAGCGTGTAAAGGTAGCTTCATATTGTGGTGTTGTCTTTCTCTATATTGGAATTTTCTATCTCTAACCTAAGAAAGTGGGAGAAAATGGTAGAGTATCAAGTGGTCATTTCCTCCTCAGGTTTGTGTTCAAGGTTCCATGGGTGAAGGTGCTCTTTCTGGGATGCCTTTGCAACTTGCTGGAACTCGAAAGATCTTGGAGTTCATGGATTGGGGTGAACATGGCGCACTAGGAAGCTTTGTCAGTATTGGATCTATAGGTAGAGCTAGTTACTACATTGTGCCTTTATTAAGGAGAAAAATACTAGAAACAAAAACATGGTGCATTGGAAGTAATTCTAAAACTGATATTTAGGATGGCCCTCAGTACTTAGTCTTCACATTTGCCAGTTGTTCTTGATATCTTGTTATTTCCTTTCATGATCCTTCGAAACAATTACTAGTCTCTACACATGCTCAGCAATTTTCAATCACATTAACGGTAAATTAGTTTAACTTATGTAAATTCCAATGGAGCATATGAGATGATTATTATTGCCATTACGAGCGAGTTGCAAATCACTTAAACGTCATTTTAATTGCATTTCCTTTCATAATGTATCTGCTTCAATCTACATGTTACCTCAAAACTTTGCGCAATGATTTAAAGAAGGACCATATTTAGAGTTAAGAATGGTTGGCTCGTTATGCAAATAAGTCTTAAAGCAGACATGCATATTTTTGTACAACAAATTTAATAGTGGTCATTTGCTTTGTTCTCTTTAGTCACTGAGTTACATAGAATATGAGATTGCAATCATTCTAGAAATGGAATGAGGAATTTGTTATTTTGGTGATGTTGAAGCAACATGATAGTTTATAAGATCAGCACTTCTATATTGTGTGTACTTGCATATTTTGCTGTTAGGTGTTTTATTTAATTTGTTATTTTGGAGGGATCATCAAAATACGTATAAAAATAGGCATTCCGTTTGTCATGTTTCATGCATACATATATGCATCCAAACATTTTTCTGCATTCGAATTATTAAATTGATATCTAATTACTGACAGTTAGAATAATGCATTTTGGTGTTGCTAGGTTAAATTGGGTTGTATACACCCATATAGAAAATAAAAGAATAAGCCTTTACGTAGGATTATGTAACTTGGATGACACAAGAGGTTAAAACTGAAGTCTTTCTTCACTAATAGTCCCAACCCGTTCTTTGCAAACTCTTAACCAAAAATACTAAATAATATTCCAGAGCTAAACCCAGAAATGGTAAAACTCTTTACCATTGGGGTCATCAATTTCATGGGTCTTTAGTTTTATAATTTGAATGTGTCTCAATTACAAAATAGACGAGGCCATCAGGACAATGGTTACCTTCTAAGACTCAAATGATTGTTGTGATAATGATCTGTGACAATTGTGATGACCTTTTATGATAATTTTTACCATATCATTTTTCCTGTGGATTACCAAATTCAAGATATTTATAATCAGATTGTTGGCTTGGTTAATTAGGAGTGCCTTTTGTATTTGTTCTTGGTCATGTACAGACTACTATTGCTTCTTGGCCCTTGACCATCCTCACCAATAGGATAATTTTCAACTTAAACAAAATTTAAAATTAGATGTTTTTAGTGAGCCCATTTTTCCTCGATTTGGAATCTCCTTTTTTCCAAAATTTAGGTATATGGGCAATATGGGTGTGGATAAAATGCTGCAAAGCTCCGTTATTAATCAAGGGAAAAAATTGATGTCGGTGTTACGATCAGTGGATAGGACACGACAACACTTGTTGCAGCTGCATAATTGAATTGTAGAGTGGCTAACAAAAGAATAAAGGGGGTTTGTGATGATTTTGAAATCTTTTCCTCTAGGTAATCTGTTATCCTTATGCATGAAGATAATAAATTCGATCGTTGTGGTCGGCCTCTACTATGGATTTCTTACCACATTCTCTATAGGACCCTCTTACCTCTTCCTTCTCTGAGCTCGGGTTATGGAAGAAGGAACCGAGAAGGAGGTGTTAGGAGCAACTGGTTTTATTATGGGACAGTTCATGATGCTTATATCAATTTGTGACAACTTAAAGTAGGGAAGAGTGAGAAAGGAAAAATAAAACAAACCAGAAAATTAAAAACATAATTATACTCTCTCTTTGGGTATGCAGGGTGTCCACCCCAAAGGTTGAGAGATTTGACCATCTCTCTAGTTCTGCAGGAGGGTTCATCCTCTTTGGGTGTGTTGGGAGTCCACCCTAAAGGTTGAGAGTTTTGACCATCTCTCTAGTCTGTGGAGGGTCCATCCTAAAAATTCTTTTCAAAAGACCCAAACTTAATTCTTCTTTTCTTTCTTGTCCAAACCTACATTTTTATAGAAGATAACCTAAAACCTAACTTAAGAAATTTAATCACCACTAAATCATAGCCATTCATCTTTTCAAAATCAAATTCCAAATCTACCCCTCAATTCTCTACAAATATACGCCAATACTCTAAGATAAAAAGTAAAAGAGAAATAACCCCAAACTTAATTTTAATCTCTTAAAAAAATTTTATTTACAAAATATAAACTAACTGCATCATTTTCCTGGGGTTGGGAGAAGCTCAACCTTGAGTGTGTGAAATCCATCGCATCCTTCTCAGGCATCTCCAATAATTGGTGATGTGGTCCCACCATTTGTCTTGGCACTCCTTGCATCATATTTTGCCAAATAATAGACTATTTACTTTGGAACTTCATATGGAAGTCCGTGAAATTTGCAATGACTCCTAAAATCTTTCTTGCCTTTAATGGCTTGTATTTCATATCTTTTGATTGGTTTGATGGGTTCTTCATTATCTATTGTCGGAGCCTATAGTAGTGTTTGGTTGTTACTTTAATTAGGGGGCAATTTTTTATCTCCATCCTTTTCATATTTGTGTTGCACATGTTGCAATCTGTTTAGTAGATCTTGTAGTAGCTCTTACATTATTTTGGCATCGCTTTCTATGAAGTCTTCTTTAGCATTCTTGAGTTATGATCCAAGTGCTCCATCAGTGGATCATTAAATGTTTTTTATGGCATCGTTATGTATGTATCTCAAGGGTTAGATACCAATTGAAGTAGGGAACGAAAGGAACAAGAAAAATAAACATTTTAAAAGGGCAAGACAATATATCCTCTCCCTGGGTTTGCAAGGAAGTCCAACCCCAAAGGAGTGATTTGATCATCTCTCTAGGTCTGCTAGGGAGTCCACCCCAAAAACGTTTTTCATAAAGCCCAAAGATTAATTCTTCTTCTTTTTTTCTCTTCCTTGTTGAAACTTAACCATATTTATAAAAGGAAATCCAGAAACCTAACTTGCTCCTTAAGAAACTTAATCACAATTAAATTCTAGTCCTCTATCTCTTCAAAGTTAAACGTCCAACTATACCCCTCAGTTCTTTGCAAGAAAAAAAAGATACAAATACCCTGAGAGAGAAAAATAAATGATCTAGTAACTCCAAACCCAATTTTAGTCTCCTAAAGAGAAATAATAATAATAATACTAACTTCATCACAACTTATACTCTCATTTTTGTGAATACTTGTTGTAAATGTGGAGGACCAATCTCAAAAATAGCTTTCTTCCTGAATAACCACAGTTTCCATACTAGGTAGTAGCATTTATTCGTGTTGAATCTCATTTAAAATCATCAAGGTTAGAACTTTTTCCACCTTATGTATGTCTAAAACATTGTCATATGTGGTGATGTTAATACAAACTGTGCTGATTCTTTCAGAAATTAGTGTTGAATTTCTTTTAGTATTAAAGAAACACACTCATGTCGTTGTTTGGATCTCTTTTCTTTTATGAAAAAACAAACTTTTAGGTAATGAGTATGATGTGCTTGACAATTTTCAATTCCTGAATATCTTATGGAAAATTATACAATGAAACCATTTATATTTAGTACATGGAGGTCACAATGAGTTCGCCCATACTAATGAAGCTGAAGGACAAGTTCTATAGGACGGCTATGAGACAGGATTTGCTTTAGGGGACGGAATGTTGGGCAGTCAAGAAACAACATGCACATAGAATGAGTGTAGCTGAGGTGAGGATTTTGAGACGGATGAGTGGCAAGGCAAGAAAGGATAAAATTCAAAATAAATACATTTAGGAGAATTTAGTTGTAGCACCAATAGGCGATAAGATGAGAGAGTAGACTTGCGTGAGCTAGCCATGTGCTGTGCAAACCTAGTATAGTACCTATTAGGATGTGCGAGTTAGTTCAAGTGGTAGGCTCAAAAGGGTATGGGGTAGGCCCAAAGGATATGGTTGGAAGTAGTGAGAAAAGATATGGGGACTTATGGCCTCACTGAGGGTTGACCCTTAATAGAGTAGAATGGTGGACCATGATTCATGTAGCCGATCCCAATTACTTGAGAAAAGGTTTTGACAATGATGATGATGATGATGAGGTCACAATTAGTCTTGACCATTAGATGTGAAATTGGGCGGTTGCATTTATTATATTGACTAGCTACAAAGTTCAAAAGAAATGTTTTTGAGCTTTATGACACCTAAGCCATCAGATTTCACATTGGATGGTTATAGGTAATTGTAACCCCTATGTACCAAAGGTAAATGATCTCATAATATACAGTCCCTAATCTTATTGATCAAACATATTGCTATCTTCAAATTTCTTTCTAGGAAATATTGTAAATCTTTTGCATCTACAGTTTTTTAGCATGTTATTATGTAAGTTACTTTACACAACATTCTACAAATGTTTTGAAGTTGTGCACATACCATCTATGGTTTAAAGTGTCAAAGTGGATAGAAGAATTGAAGCTTTAGATTTATATTGATGTATACATGGGCTTTCTGTAATATTTCTTTATAATTTCATTTTGCAAGGTGAGTGATCCAGAAATATTGTATCATCTATTCTCATATTCTTGATAAAATTGTACATTTCACTGCTACAGATTCTACAGATTCAGGGTACTTTTTATGAACTAGGCTAAAGAGCTAAAGTTTGGTCAATTAGTCTGGGATTTTGTTAATATTTTTATCTTAATTGATTTCTAGGTGCCAAAGACGTCAATGAGCAAGATGATATATTCATTTTAGTTTCTCCACAGAATGCTGTTGGTAACTGTATAATTGATGTGAGTAAAAATGCAAAAATTTGCTCTATGCATTGAACTTTTCTTACATATTGTTTCCATTTGATCTGTTATTATGTTTCTCCATTCTCCCCAACTTAATGTGCAGGATCTAAAAGCTATGACTGATGCTGCTGGTAACCGCCCTGTTATACTTGTCAATCCCCGTCTTAAGGTTTGTTGAATTGTTATTTCTATCTTTCTCGCAATTAGACATTCTATCTTTCTACATGGTAACCTAGTAGGATATCTAACTTTCTAGTCATATTGACTGTTTTGATTACCCTTTTTTTTTTTTTTTTTACAGGCCCCTACCAGTTTTTTCAATAGATTGGGAGTTACATTTTTGAAGGTGTTAATTAGGGGTGTCAACGGTAGGAATGGATACCACAATGTGGTAACTGGGTGTGGGCATGCTACCACCACGATCCCAGCCCCTTTCCTATGTTTGGGTACCATTTGGAATAGTAATTCTGCGTCAATGTAGATTTTCCATGTAGGGTATGGAATTTTGAAAGAACTCTAATGCTGCTGTTAATTTATTGCTACTTCGATACAAATCTTAAAATGGTTAAGTTAACGAATTTTCTACAAGGACTCTCACCCAACTGCATATTACTTAACCCTTAAAATGAAAAAATGCCATCCTAATTCCAAAACATCCATATCATGCACAAAAAGCATAATAGAATTGGGACAAGCCTTACCAGTCTATATTTCTAAAGTGTAGTTTTTTGTTAGGTGGTGTCCTGAGTACTTACTTTGGAAAAGTTCCTGCTATAATTGCTTAGTGCATAGATTCCATCCCAAAGCTGTATAGTAGTTGTACCCTTTGAATTTGAGAATGACCCATTTTTTGTGTGTTGTGTTTGTGTTTTAGGCATTTTTCCATCCCAAAGCTGTATAGTAGTTGTACCCTTTGAATTTGAGAACCACCCATTTTTTAATATCTACCTTGAGGGCATTATGGGTCTCACATTGTGTCCAACATATTTAGAGCATGAGGTAAAGCACCTCAGTAATGTAATTCACATTGATAAGGTTACATAGAAATGGAACTTAAGACGTAGTGCTATGAAAACCCATCTTCTACCACCTTGACAAAAAAAAATAAAATAAAGTAATTCAAATTTTGATCAGTACGTCTTCTTCTACCTTGATAATAATTCTTTTCCCTTGGACTTTCTGCTTTTCTTTTTGCTTGAGATCATTGTACATTACAATTCAGAAGTAGCCTTAGGAACCATCATTAGGTGAAATCAGTTCTCTCTCTGAGGTTTTCCACTTAGGATCCTTGTCTTCTAAATTTTAAGACTGCTCATGCATTGCAATCACTAGCATATCTGAACATGCCTTTAATTTTAAATTGCCAAAATCTGCTGGCAGTGCTTTTAAGAAATATACAAGTATTGATATTTTTTGTCTTTTAATCAGTAGCCTAAAAACGAAATGGGGTCTGACTTAGTCCCCCAAGAAACTGAGTCAGATCTCCGATTCCCATCTTGATTCACCTAGTTAATGATGTATGGATAAAGAAAAATTACAAAAGAGTAAGAAACCGGAAGAATCGAGGTAATTCTGGGGTTCCTCAAACCGGAAAACGCCCATCTCCAGATCCTAGCTTACTTGGGCAATTCCAAGTTGGATCGATGATTTTTAATTGTTGCTTTTAATGCATACGCTAAGACTTGTGGTTCCAATATTCCCTTGCATACTTCTCTTGCAATATTTTAGATGAAAATGTCTTGATGCATTTTAGAACTATCTTTGCTGATCTAAATCACTGATATATGTTTGTCTATCTTTTGATTGAAGTTAGAACTACAATATTTTCCATGGAATGGTCATAAATACAATGATTGATAAACATCTGTAATTGTAAAATTAAAATTTGGAACATGTGAATAAACCTTTATTGAAAGGAAAAACATTTCTAAAATATAGAAATAAAATTCAATGTTGGGCATGTGGGACAAGAAATAAAGTGGTAAGGGATATTATTGATATTCTTGGTATTACTGAATGTTAAGAGAAGCTTGAATGTGAAATTTTTAAGGTACCACAAAAAAATAAGAATCGAGCCTTTGATGGGGAATATACTAGTTTGAAATTTACCCTAAATATAAATTATTTCATTTATTAAAATAAATGTACTCATAAGACTTCTTCAATTTGGGTTAAGTTAGTGGTGAGAGCCTCAGCTAATTGGCAGTTGGTATATCGATGTTATTTTGTAGCCTGAAGTTAGTGGCGAACAAAAAAAAAAAGAAAAAAAAAAGAAGACATCTAGGCTGAACTTGATCTTGCTCTACAAGAAACGCATCCGTATGTGTTTGCTTTTCTAGGTTTTCCTTATATACGTTCGTGCTTCAACTAATAACTTTCTTGACTGTTATCCATGCGTAACTAGCCTATAATAGTTTTCCTATATGATAGTTTTATGAATTGACCGCATGTCTTTTCTTTCATATATTGATCATTTGGGAAGAACTGTGTAAATCCCATTGGTTTCAATTAATTTCAGTTCTTTCTCTTATATTCTCTTTTTTGGTTTGTCTTTTGTTTAGGATTTACCCAGTTCAAGTGGCATAATGCAAGTAAGGACACTTCTTTTTAGCTGCAAACATAATATTCTCTGAGTTTATTAACTCCCCAAGAATACATTTCTTCATGTTCTTATGCTTCTTTTTATTTGAAGGCAATGGGAAGAGACAAGAGATTGAAATATGCAGCTTCTTTCGAAAATGGTTATTTCTTCCGGCTCCTGTATTATGCTGGCACACAGTATCCAATAATGGGTGCTCTAAGGTGATCTATTAAATGAAATTGCCCCATGCAGATACACTTGCATTTTCTGAATCTGGTTTTAGAACCTTCTTATGCATGAAAACCTTGATAGGATGTCTGGGTGGTCCATGCAGGAATAGCTTACGATTTTCCCTATTGACTGTATTCATATTCATTGGTAATCAGAATCCAAAAACCAGCACTCACTCTGGGAATCGGCAGGTGCTTGGAGCGAGTTAGCTTGGTGATGCTTGAGTCTCCCAAGAGGGACTAATAATCCCAAAAAAATAATTGAAAAACTTCAGGAAAAATAAAAAGATAAGGAAATAGAGAAAAAGAAAAATCATAAACAATTAAGAAAAACTATATAGAAAATAAAAAATCTAAACCCCTAAACTAAATTTGAGACTTGACTTCAGATCTAGTTGATCTAAGCTCTCTCTTGACAATTTCGGTTAAACCCTAGTGCAAAACTGGCATCGGAAAGGATAAATCCTACTCCGATTATACAACAATGACCGGGCTACCTTGATCTCTATCAAGGGAATGAAAGAGCAAGGGATTTTCAGCCCCTACTCTTGTCACTACACTAAGTAGATGGCCCTCCAACTCTAGGTTAGGAACACACACGTTCTCTCTCTCTACGCCAAGGGGGACGAAATTTTCAATTTCATTAATCAAATTAACACCAAAACCATTCCACTGTTCCAACAATATATAAGAACCCATTCACTGGAGCTAGACAATGACCAACATATCCTTAATAAGATATGAAAATGACTTGATTACCCCTGTTCCCTGTTTCCCATACATCAACTTGCTTGCATGCAACCTCCATGCACCCTAGTTCCCATGCATGAAGTTGAATTCCCATGCATTGGAACTAGACATCTTGACCTTTGGACTCATGAACACTTTTCGCACATTAAAATACTTGTCTCTACACCAAACTCTTTAGCCCTTGACTTTAACTCTAAACCCAAGAAAGTCCCAAATTAAAAGTTACAAAAGAACTTAACAAATCCCAAATGACCAACCTAAGAAAGAGATAATGACAAACACTTCCCGGGTTTAGCAAGCTTCTAGATGCAATTTGCATCATCCTCCCCGGGTTGGCAAAGACTCGACTCCTTTGGGTTGCCTTCACCAAGATACTCGAATAGGTCTTACACGTTGAAGATTGGGGAGATATTCCACCCTTTTGGCAGCTCTACTTCATAGGCATTGTCATTGATTTTTGTTTTTTTTGGTTTTACGAGGGCCAACCTTCTTTGCTTTGAGTTGCCAGAGGGACCAACAGGAAATCGCTCTAGCCTGAGATACACCATAACAAAGTCTCACACTTTGAACAGTTGTAGCCTTTAATGTCGATTCACAACATCTCAGTATTGGTGTAGCTTTCCTCCAACTTCTTTTGAAACTTTTTATGTAACTCCTTCATGAATTCAGGTATACTTGCAACATCTACATCAACATTCTCAAGGATAAGTAAATGGGCTAGATCATAAAAATGCAAAGGTGATATCCCATAGATCGCATTAAATGGAGTTTTTTTGGTTGACCAATTTGATTGCATGCGAACTCAGCTTGTGGTACCACCAAGTCCCATAATTTCAAATTTTCTCGAACTAAGAGGTTCTTAACATGTTACCAACATGCCTATTAACCACCTCAGTTTCCATTAGTTTGTGGATGTTAGCACTACTAAATTGCAATTTAGTTCCCATTTTTCCCCATATAGTTCTCCAAAAGTGGCTAAGGAACCTCGTGTCTCGGTCGGATGTGATGGTCTTAGGGTGACTATGCAAGCGCACAATATCTTTGAAGAAGAGATTGGCTGCCATAATGACATCTGTGGTTCACCTACATGGTACAAAATGTGCCATCTTTGAAAACATATCCACCACCATAATCAAATCACGACCTCTTGCTGTCCTCGCAAACCCAATATGAAATCCATCGGTAAATCTCCCATGACCTACTTGGAATAGGCAATGGAGTGTACAAACTTGTTTTTTGAAAATGTCTCTTTGCCTCTTGGTATTTCATGCACCTATCAACAAATCTATACACATCTCTTCTCATAGAAGGTCAAAAATACCTCTCATCAATAAAGAAAATGTCTTATCCCTTTCAAAATATCCACCAAGACCACTCAAATGGAAATCAGCAATGAGATGCCCCGTAAAGAAGTGTTAGTGATGCATAAACATGCACCATCAAATAAATAACCATCAGACATAAGGAAGTGGTGATAAGAGTTACCATTTTTTGCTTGGAACCTCTCCACTATGTCCTCGAAGTATGGGTCATCTTGATATGCTTCTCACACCGCTTCTAAATCCACTTCGACTACTAATGTCTTCACCAAATGAACATGCTGACTAAGAGCATCGACCACCTTGTTTTGTTCTCCCAATTGGTGCCTTATAATAAATGTGAATTCTTGCAAATAAGCCACCCTCATAGCATGTCTTGCACTGAAATTCTTTTGGCTATTAATGTGCTTGAGTGCATCATGGTCGGTGTAGGGAACAAACTCTGAGTGAATCAAATAATATCTCCAATGACAAAGAGCTTGAATGACAACATAGAACTCAATGTTATAAGTTGAATATCGCTGCTTTGCATCATTGAGTTTCTCACTGAAAAATGCAATGGTCTCTTCTCTTGACTCAACACAGCTCCAATTCCCACATGAAAGGCATCACACTCTACCTCGAATAACCTCATTGAAGTCAAGCAAAGCAAGGACTGGTGTGTGTGTCATCCTTTCCTTAATCTCCTTAAAAGCCTTTGTAGCTATGGGAGTCCACCGATAGCCTTCACCCTTTAAACGCTCAGTGATAGGCACCATGATGGTGCTGAAATTTCTAATGAACTGCCTATAGAATGTGGCATGTCTATGGAAACTTCACACTTCAGTCATAGTTTTAGGTACAACTATTGCCTTAACGTTCTCGAGATCCACCATAACACCATCTGAAGAAACCACAAAACCCAAGAGCACCCGTTTGTTATGAAGCTACAATTCTTAAGGCTAAATACAAATTTTCAGCCCTTAAAGCGTAAACACTTGGCCCAAATGATTGAGATGTGCCTATGGATTAGTCCTATACACTAAGATATCGACAAAATATACGACTACAAGCGTTACAAGGAAATCTAGCAAGACTTGAGTTATCAAGTGCATGGAAGTGTTAGGTGCATTGGACAACCCAAATGGCATGACAAGCCACTCTTTGTCTTGAAGGCCGTCCTCCACTCGTCCCCTTCTCAGATTGAATTTGATGATAGCCACTCCTTAAATCTATTTTCGAGAACACCGAAGAGTCAGCCAACACCTCTAACATGTTGTCAAGTCTCGGAATTGGAAAATGATATCTGACAATAATCTTGTTTTTGTCTCAGCTATCAACACGCATGCGCCATGTCCCATCTTTCTTAGGTTTGAGCAGTGGTGGGCACATGGGCTCATACTTGGTTGAATCAGTTCCTTAGATACTAATTCATTAACTTAGCGCTGCAACTCCTCATGCTCCTTGTGATTCATTCAATATGCCGGCAAATTTGGCAGACTAGATCTCGGCATGAGCTTGATAAAATACTGTATATTCCTCATTGGCGGCAATCTAGCTGGTAATTCTTCTGGTATAAGGTCGGTAAATTCCTTTGTCAAATGCTTAAGGGCTTTGTGCACCATGAAGCATTGCTCCAAGTCCTTTTCAACCATCATGAAAAGCTTCCCCATATCCTCACTTGCTTCCACAAATTGTTGATACGAAAGTAAAATCATAGCCCTTCTCCTTAATGGACTTAGGCGGGACTTCATCTTGCAATAGCAATAAAGCAATCTTTTGTCCATCTTTCAGAAAGGTGTAAGTGCCGAATTCATCATTATGAAATGTCTTGCGATCATATTGCCAAAGGTGACCAAGTATGTGGCAGGCATCCATGGGTGCAACATCACACCACACCTCATCTCAATACAAATTTCCAATAGAAAATTTAATATAACAACAAGAATTAACTGGTATCTTGACTCCTCTTTTGAACCAAGCAATCTTATAAGGTTGTGGGTGTGTCACCTCCTTCAATAATAATTTGTGAACAGCCTCCTTTGACACCATGTTCTTGCAACTGCCACCACCGATAATCAAGTTGCACACTTGCCCATCACAAGTGCATTGTGTGCGAAATATATTGGATCACAGCTAGCTATCATCTTGTGGGACTTTGGGAAGAGAGAGAACCCCTTCGAACCAGCAACATGTCTCCTTGGTCTGCGACGACCTCTTTACCTTGGTCATATTGACCATCATCATCATTATACACTAGTTTTTCAAAATCAACAACTGCACCCTCTTCTATCTCACCATCTTCCTCGGCTTTGGCAAGGTTAGCATGCTGTTGGGCGCTCCACTGCCCTATGACCCACCGCATTACATCAAAAGCATCGAACACTTGATTGCTTATTTGTTCGGGCTCACAATCGAGTGTTGTGCGTAGGCACAGCCCTCGATTGATCACCCAAAGTTCTCTACTTACTCGGGCCAGTAACTCTCTGATTGGAGCCTTTATGCCCCTGCATTGTGATGTGAATACACCTGGCCTCCAACTAGTACCCCCTTTATTGCCTCTCCTCAGTTCGCAAGGCAGCTTGATACGCCATTTCGACTTGGGGCAGGTGTTTGAAGGAGAGTTCAACTTGGATTTGAAGCTGCAAACCTGATATATACCTTGCAACTCATTGGTCCTCCATCTCATTCAACACCATGCACAAAGATAAGCTATGAAAGTCTTTTGCATATTCACCGACTGACTTTGATCCTTGATGCAATTGATGAAACCTTTTATACACGGTTTGTACAAAGTTTGGAGGAAGAAATCGCTCATGCAACTTTGCTCTCATTTTTTCACAAGTTTGAATCTTATCTTTCCCCTTTAGCAACCTTGCTTCCTAAACTTGATCCCACTAAACTGGTGTGAGTCCCTGAAGCTTAATCGCAACTAAGTTTTCTTTCTTTTAATCCGACAAATCCTTCCATTCAAAGAATATTTCTACGACGCTCAACCAATCTAAGAACTTTTTTGGTGATAAACTACCAAAAAATTCAGGTAAGTAACTTTAATACCGAATTCGTCATCACGACGTCGTGCTTGCTTACTCCTCCCCGTTTGTACACTCGAGTCACCATCCGATTCACGCTTTAGCCTTTGTGAACCAATATTATTGCTAGAATGAGTCCCAATTCTGAGCTAGGTAAAATCGTCTCCATCTCCGATTTACGGTGCTCACCAAACAAGCCACCATGTAATGGATCCATGACCAGGTATCTTCGCTCAATCCGATGATTCCGATCTTGCAAAAGCGTGGTCACTGACTCTGTTAGATTGTGCACAGTCTTTGCCAATCTATCGAGTTCACGACCTATATTTATTTGGCCACGACATCTACCACGAACAACCATTGATGCAATGCACCAACCTACTTTGATACCAACTGGTGCAAAACCGGCTTCAAAATAACGATAGATTTGAAGACGATTTACAATGATGACCCCGCGTCCTTGATCTAAATCAAGGGAAAGAAAGAGCATGGACTTTTCAGCCCCTATACCAAGTAGATGGCCTTCCAACTCAAGGTTGGGAATACGCTCTTCCCTACACCTAGGGGGAAAGTTTCAATTTCATTAATCAAATTAACACCAAAACCATAAATCTGTTACATCAATGTTCAATATATAAGAACCCATTTGCTAGAGCTAGACAATGACCAAAATACCCCTAACAAAATATTAAAATGATTAGCTTACCCCTGTGCCCTATTTCTCATACATTGACTTGCTTCCATGGAACCTCCATGTACCCTAGTTCCCATGCATGAAGTCAAATTCCTATGCTTGGAAACTACACCTCTTGAGCTTTGGACTCGTGGAAACTTTTATACGTTAAATTACCTGTCTCTATGCCAAACTCTCTAGCCCTTGACTGAGAAAGTCCCTAATAAAAAATTACGAAAGAAGTCATTAACAAATCCCAAATGACCAATCTAACAAAGAGATAATGACAAACACGTCCTGGGTCCAGCAAGCTTGTAGATGCAATTTGTATCAAACCCCTAATACAATATTTAAAATATTGCAAATTTGTGATTTTTATTTCTTTGTGGAATCTAAGCATTGGCTTCAATAGAGAACAGAAAAATAGGCTTAGGAATGAAATTTTCAGGGTGTATGGACCTAGGAATGCAAAAACAAATAAAGAAACAACTTCTGCCAAACCTGAGTTTGGTAAAAAAAGATCTTGCAAATTCGATATGTATACATTGCTGAATCTGTTGTTCGGATTAGAGGGAGGACGAAAAAATATGCTTCAGGGTGAAATTTGGGAGAGATCTATTAGATTGATAAAGAAAATGGATGAAGGGTAGTCGGATATCCAAGCCAACCCCCTCCCCCCCCCCAACAAAAAAAAAAAAACAAAAAAAAGAAAAGAAAAAACCCAACCCCCTACAAAAAAAAAAAAAAGGTTTGGCCTCAACAGGTTTTGTCGACTTCTTCAAACCCCATAGGTACTTGTCCCGGTTACTTACAATCTCGGGTGACTACTGCTACACTATAGGCTCTCAACAAATTTGGGCACCTGCTGCCACAGTATAGCTCCCCAGCAAGTTTGATGCCCTCTGTACTGGGCAGGCTACCATGTCCAAGTAACTTGGCGAATCTGAGTCAGATTTGGCAAGTTTTTAAACATTTGTAGTCTTGGTAATCATTCTGTAGTTCTAGGGTTGTTTCTTTACATGGAGAATAAATGGGTCTTTGGTGCCTCTAAGATCAAAGGATATAAGACAGAATCTGGCATGCACAATATGTTCCAATGCATGATATAGTGAAATCAATGCACTGTATTTGTAAAAGATGGAGCTCTCCTTTTAACTTGTTGGTCTCATGAAACTATTGTCTGTGATAAATTAATTCTTAGAAAGATCCCAAAAACATGCTTTCTTACTCTATTCTTTGTTTGCCTCATTTTTAGGATGTCCTACCCATACGGGTACGAACTATATAAAAGAGTCAATGAGCCATCTGGGAAGGAAAAATATGTCATCATCGCCACATTCCCTGAGAAACCAACATCAGAAGAAATTAATGATGCTTTTGAAGGAAAGCCAAGGTAAAACTGTGGAATATTTGAAGGGTGACAGGAGGTAGTCCAAGCTAGGTCAATGACTGATTTACCTAGTTTCCTTGATTGAAAAGCTGCTTTCCAGACTGCTAGGCACCTTAAGCTGATTTTAGCCTAATGATTTTGCTAGTTGACAGTTTCAGTCAGTTTGATCTGAAATTTACTATTCCTTTTGAAATGTGCAGAAACAATGAAAGATCATCTGCTGGAATTTTGTAAGTATGACCTGCTCTTTCATGTTGTATGTGTGTACACACACAACAGAGAGAGAGAGAGAGAGAGAGAGAGAGAGAGAGTTTACTTATACATTTCTTGATAAATAGTTGTTGTTTGCAGCGGGTTTCTTAAGAGCATATTTTGAACCAATGGATAGGAAGGTTGAGATTATCCTTGAAGGGAACTTGTTATTTCTACTAAGAGGCAAAAAGTAGGGAAGTGATTTTCTTGCTTGGAATTATTGTTTTCGTATAGTATCACTACTTTTTTTAATCTGTGTGCCTTGTCAATAAAAATTTGCTTTAATTCAATTTGGAGAGATGACATTTGATTCCTAAATGATGGAGTAGTGAATAACATGGTGAGCAGCAAGCAAATCATCTTGTGGTCAAACTTCTGGGGAAATTCTATGATATATGTAGATCCAAGTTATAATAAGAGGACATGAAATGAAATGGAGCCAATGAGCGATAAGCAAGAAGTTGCCACGGTAAAGTGACTTGCATGGTAAACCAATGCTGGTTTCATGGCCATGGCTCATATTAAAATTCTTCAGCTAACTTGGGAAATCAGTAAGAAAACATCTAGTTCTCTTAATCCTATGTATGGTAAGTGGAAGGAATCATAAAGACTAGAATAATTCCACAGTTGCTTACACGTCTTTCTAAATTTGTCATTTGCCTAGGGTGTTCCTAGATTGTTTGTGGGGAGATTATCGCAAATTGGATTGTGAAATTATATATTGCCGTCAAAGCTGTAGTTTCTTATACATGACAACAATGGCACTGAGGTAAGAAATGGCCACCCGTTTTTGACAAGTTTTTTTATATGTAAGTTTCCAATACTTGATATGTTGGGTCACATTTCTATACTGTATCAAAGGTTTTTGGTAGACGTTGCTTTGCAAAAGTTACAACTCTATTATTTTGTCAAGGGCAAGCTTTCTATGCTTCTCCTACTGCATATAACTCGTATACTTTCTCCCTATCCAACCGTCCATTCTGAATGGACAGTTGAGATGGCCTCTATCACAATATCACATTTCTACACTATTTTATTTTTAATTTGTTTTTACAAAATATTAACAAATTTTGGACGTCTACTACTCTCTTAAACTAATACTCGGAAACAATATAAAAAAATATTTTTAATAAAATAAAATGATCAAAATACCTCTAAAAGTTTCAAGGGGTATTTTGGTTATTATATTTTATTGAAAAATTCTTTTTAATATTTTTTTAGGTGTGCCCCATTGAGATGATGGCACGTCCAAATTTCATATTCATATAATTTGTAGAAAAAAATTAAAAATAAAACACTATGAGGCGTGAGATCTAGATCATTTAGAGATCTAGGTCAAATGATCAGTGGTTTACTTGATTTAAATTGGATGGCTAGATTTGCGAAGCATATATCTTCTATGAAGCAAGGGAAGCATAGAAACCTTTCCCTTTTGTGAAAGCTTGGACAATTATTTGGTTTGTTTTTCTGTTTAGGAGTTAGGACTTGGGACCTATTCTTTTACAACATGTTTTCTACAAAACGAAAACATCTTGGGCTCTTTAAATATCCATTTGAGTAAAGTCATTTGAAGAAACTTGGCAAATTTTATTCTAAAAGAAGAGATTGGCATTTTTTTCTAAGGGAAAAGTTTATATAGAGCCGAGGTTCTAAACAATCAAATAAGAGCTTACCTCAAAAATTTCATTAGAAGAGGTCGTTTTGATGCCTAAATATCCTCAAATTGATCATCTCGATATAAAGATGCATGAACATGAGAAAAGAATGGATTTCAAGTTTTGTAAATAGTTATTTTGTAACGCATTTTTTAACTGTCAATTTTCAAGATTTTCAAATTTTCATAGATCTGTCGATCTACACTATTTTTGAAACTTTAAATTTTATAAACAAAGATAAAAATATATTTTAAAGCTTTCACACAGGTTTTCAGTATTGAAACTACATTTTTCGACATTATTTTAAGTTAGGCTCTAATTTGATTGTTTAGAGCCTAGGCTCTATACAAATCGCACTCTTTTTTTAATGCTCACATGATTACCTAGTAATCCTTAAATGCAAGTTTAATTCGAGGAGTCATAAGATTCAAGTTGTGTGCAATGTCTTTAACGCTGATTTCAACTTCTTTCTCAGATGTCACATTTATTGGAAATTTTCTTATTTTTCGTTTTGGTTTTTTTTCATGTTCCTGATCTATAGGCTACAACATGGACTTGACCATGACCTTAGTGAAGGTTTTATGTAGCATAATAAATGGTGGAAGGTGAAATATGCGTGTTTGTAAGCGAGTCCAACTGCGTGTTTATTATTGTATTTATTTATTTATTTTTGAGTGTAAATGGTTAACTTCACTAATTAAGTGAAATATGTGTGTTTATAAGCAAGTCTAACTGCGTGCTTATTTATGTATTTATTTATTTATTTTCGAGTGTTAACGGTTAACTTCATTAATTAAAAGAACGAAGCTACATTAATGAAGAGGAAGAGATGGAGAAATACCAGAAGTACTCCCTAAATCCGGGGATAGTCACCTAGAGATTACCAAACAGCCCACAACTCTAACCTTGAAAGGTCCAAAACCACTTCCAAGGAATTCCCTGAACAGACCTCTAGACCTAAACCATACTACCCACTAAGACACCATAACACATCCTCCCTTGAGCAATCACTTAACAGAAGGAGAACCATCAGACTATAGCGGTGCACTAGAGGGTGGTGGAACACAACCAGAGACCAATAAATAGGGTATACAAGATAGGTGAAAAGGTGGGTAGGGCAGGAAGAGAAGGTGGAAGAACTAAAGGGAAAGGGAGGGACCCAAATAAAAGGAAGCGAGGAAGTAAGTGGGGAGTCTAGTGGTGGAGACCATCCTCCAGAAGCAGATCTCACAAAAGCCGCTAAGAAGTTGTGTTTGACTTCCCACCGGAGTTCAAACCCCTAACAGAGATTTGAAAATTGGCAACAGGATTCACCATAAAAGGGACCATACCCTCTCTTGGGTATTAACCCGAGAAGCCCAATACAATGGGTTTCTAAGCTCCAAACCTCAGCTCAAAGACATAAGAAATCCTATGATAAAATTAGAGTACCTAAAATAAGATATCCCATTTTAGACGTTAACTTAGATCGGGGAGATGAGCGTTGAGGAGAGAGAAGTGAGGCTAGTATAATTGGTAGGACCATGGATGAAAGATGAGAGATGGAAGTAATGGCGAGGGAGAGGGGAAAGGGATAGGAGTGGAGAGGAGGGATGAAAGTGGAACGAGGATTGAAGGGGGGGGAAGGGAGTGTCCACTCACTCTCTCTCTCTCCCTCTCTCTCAACCGGGGGAGGTTGAACCTCCGAAAAGAAAAGAGAAAAAAAGGAAAGGGGTGAAGAAGGGAGGGATGGGGAGAAAGAGAGTGGTCAAAACCACCAAAACAAAAAACATCACACAAGGGAAAGAGAGAAGGGGAGGGGTGGGGTGAAGATAGGGGTGGCAACTGGTTGGGCCGGACCCAAATCTCAAAAAATTTATGATACCCGGACCCAGATCTGACATAAAATAAAAATATATATTTAAATATTTATATATTATGATAAATATATTCATATATTATTTAAATATTATAACTAAAAATATATAATTACATTTATTTAAATAATATATATTAAATATTATTTAAATATTCGGTGTCGGGTCGGGTCGGGTCGGGTTTGGGTTAGGTCTACATGGACCCGGACCTGAACCCGCATGCATAGTTTTTAGGTCCAAGATTTAGACCCGGGCCCGACCCATGGGTCCAATTGTTGGACCCATGTCGGGTCCGGGTCCGGGTTCAGGTCCATTGCCACCCCTAGAGAAAGAGCAAAAGAGGCGAAAAAAAAAAAACCCTCAAAAAGAGGTGAGAGTACCAGAGGCTAGTAAGGAGAGACAAAGGAAAAAACAAAACGTAAACAAGAAAGAAAGAGAAATTAGAGCTCAGATTTATCTGAGTTAGAGAGCCCACAGATCTGCTGCCACAAGTCAGATCCAAAAGGAACAGAGAACACACAAGAAAAGGAAAAGACACCGGAACAAAAAGGCATGATCGCTGATGCCCGTCGGAAAGCCCACAAGAAGTCTCGCAGTTTGTCGTAGCCTATAATCATCGGTGGACACAGTAGAAGCTGGTAGTCACCTGGATTCTTTAGTGGTCGCCGGTAGTGGTGCTTGAGTTCTCTGGTGGTCGCCTTCTATCACCTGCATTCTCTGATGGTCACCTGTGGTCGTCTGAGCTCTCTCTCTGCTGGTCGCCTTCTTTTGCCTGGGTTCTCTGGTGGTCGTCTGAGGGTCGCTGTAATTCAATTTCCTTTGATTTTTTGCTATGGTATTTTTTGTGTTGTTTTAACAAACAAGTGGCGTTCTCTAATGTGGTAATGGTTTGACTTGGTAACAAACTGGATTGAATCCCTACAAACATTTTATATTTTTAAAATGTTTCCATGAAAATTTCATCCAAGTTTTCACTTTGGCGAGTTTGTGACCATGTCAGTCACGATGTTCGAGTTTTTGCACTTTGAGCACATCATCCACAGAGTTCTAGAACACATCTTCTACATAGCAAATAGTGGAAGCTGGAAAAAGAATGACGAGAGTTTGAACTGCTCATGTTTTGTATATTTTGAAAATTTTCATGAACTGTGTTCTATGTCAATTATTTAACTCAAGACAATTTAGCTGCGAAGGAGTTGTAAACCGAGTTTGAGTTTTGAACTCGTCACGGAGAGTGCAATCGAGTTAAGAGTTTTTGAGGTCATCATTGATGGTGAATAACGAAATTAAGGTTAGAGATAGAGAAGATAGAAGGTTTAATAGGTTCATTGTGGATGTTATCTCAAATCATTATTGTGGATGTTACTGTGACCTAAGACATAGAATTCATGAATAAATGAAGAATTTGGGCTGGGATTGGGAAAAGAAGCAGCTTATTGCGTGATCTATAGGGCATATTATCTTGAGGTCTTACTTTCATGAGTTTATCTTTTCATTTCCATTTTGCCCCCGGTACGAAGTTATACTTTTTAACCATCCAAAAATAAAAAGTAAAGGATAATATTAGGGTAGCTAAAAAATGCAACTTTTTGACTGCCCAAAATATAGGTTTCGGCTGTTCGAATTGGTTGGATAACGTATTTGGAAAGTGTAACTTTTAAACCCTTTGAAACACCAAAAACTTGACAACAATTAGAAAATTCAACTTTCGAACAGCTTAAAAGCGATTCGAAAGTACAACGGCTCAAATACATTAAACTTTTCATGTTTTATTTAGTTCAAAAGTTAGACTTTTAAGAAACAAAAACACTCATAAGACCTCAACCCGAAATTTAAATCCGTGCTTTTCTCAATCCCAACATAAATTTCCCAAAAGAAGTAGAATAAAAAAAGACAAGTCTAGCATGACAAATAACTAGAGCTTGAATTCTTGGTCTTACACATAATTCATCTGTATGTGGCAATAATATCTTGCTTCGGAAGAAGTCATGGGCTCAGTGGATGGGGTGTCAATGCCAGTCCAAGGTTGAGATCTTAACTAATGGATGGTGGATGGCAATTATAGAACAAAAGCACGGGATGTGCATAATCTTTGGCTGGAGTTGATAGTAGATTGTATAGGGTCCCATACCCAACATGTGTGTGGCACACCTTCCCATTCCCCAAATGCAAATACGTACTCACGTACAACATGTGTATGGCACACCTTACCATTTCCCAAATGCAAATACGTACTCACGTACAATACATTGTACATGATTCAAGATTTCCAATGTTAACTACAAATGCAAATAGTCTGTCCAAACGTACAAATGCAAATAGGAAAAATTTAAGGGAGCATGTTAAAAAGTACTAATACATCTACAATCTTAATTGGTTTTAATTGGTGCGTGTTAAGGGAACCATGTTATTGGTAGTAATGCATATATATCAATGGATACATATTATGTTATTAAAAAGGCAGTCCGATGTTTTTAACATCGTACGATGCTTAGACTTCATTTTTTAAATGTTTAAGGTTGCTCGATATTCAAAACATTGGATCACTTTACAAAATTGGTGTTTGATATTTTTGATATTGAAATGACCTATAAATATCTAATGCAGGAGAAATGGAGGAAAAAATTAATTAATATAAAAATAATAATAAAGGTAAGAGAATATACTATTTCTCAGGGTTTACAAGAGAATCCACTTCAAAAGATCTTTTTAAAAGATCAACTCATCTTTTTAAAAGATCAACTCTTTACTGAATCACCAAATCTCTATGTACAATGAGGGACTTCTTCCCTTTCTAATACACTAAAAAGAATTGATAAAAATAAAACAATAAAAAACCCAGAAAAGAAATCACAAAAAAACCTCCCTCTCACATCATTATCTCTCCCTATCTTCTCTCCCTCACTTACGTTTTTATTTTCTCCCTATCTTCTCTCTCTTCATCTCACCTAACTTTCTCAAAATAGCATGAAATCTTACTCCCTGATTCTCATTCCGAAATCCTTCCTAAAAGATAAGTTCCTAATCTATTTCACAAAAGCCTCCTAAAAGGAACAACTCATACCTAACTTAAGATTTATTTTTTTATTTTTTTTATTTTTTCAACTTCTTAAATTTTATCTACATCATTTTCCGGGGTAAGAAAAAACTCGACCTCGAGCTTGATTCAAAGTGGGTCTCCTTCCTCACCATGCATGGCTGTTTCTGGAACTTCATTCTTTTCCTTAGCCAAGTGTACTTCAGCCTTCTTTTTTTGGGAATTCATATGCACGGTGTCCTGTTTCATTGCACCGATAACAAGTAATATTTAAAGTATCCCTTGATTCTTAATTAAATTTTGGTTGGCGTGAAACCTCCATCTGAATGTAAAATCGCTTATCGGTGCTCCATTGGTATTTAGTTTCTACTCGTAAATCAATTGAAATATTTCACTTAAAGTCCATAGAAAAACGCCATCTCTAATGATTGATTGAAGCCCATTTACGTATCAAGCAGTCTTTTGTCGTTCCATCTCTTAGAGATTGTTTCGAGCCACTAATCGATAAAACTCCACAGTATAATCTTCCACTTTCTTCTCATTTTGTTGAAGTTCTTGGATTTCTTGAAGGAAAATTTGCCCATGATCCATAAGAAGAAATTTTTTTTTTTAATTTCTTTTTTATCTATTGCAAGTCAATAATATTTCGCTTTCCACTATGAAATCGGGATTGTTGAACTTGCTCCTACCAACATATATACTCAAGAAGATTAGCTGCAAACATTTTAACCTTACGCTCATACGACAATTCACTCCATTCAAAATTATTTTCAACTACACTTAACCAATGTGGTTGCAAGCACCCTCTTCACGATGAACACTGTTATCCAACCGTTGTAACCGCTGATTCATTTTATAAACTTCGATTTGAACATCCTCCATGACTTTGGTCAAATTTTTTAAAACTTATATCAAGCGATCATTCTTAGCACGATTAGCTTTTAGTGGCATTGCAATAACTGGATCTTACTTGCTTTGATACCAACTGATGCAAAAGACGGAGGGAAGAAATAATTAAAATAAAAAATAATAAAAGGTGATAGAATATACCATCTCTTAGGGTTTACAAATAAATCCACCCCAAAGTATTGTAGACACCCTATTTTGAAACTGGTAAATTTCATGGTGTTTCTAAACCCTTAGGACCACACTATTTTAGTAGACCCCTAAACCATAGATCACCATAGTCCATGGTTTACATCCTGTGATGTAGTATTCTGGTAAATCTTAGTTATCTATTCTACACCCCTTTTGATTCTATAACAAAAAACATTAACGTGTCTATTCTAAGGAGAGAGGTGGTTAGCCCAAGAAATCAGAGAGGGAGAAAAAAGCTGGGAGAAGGAGAGACTCCAAAGACCAGAGAGAAAACTTGTAAGAAACCTTAGATCTAGGGAAAACCCTAGCCATTAAACCTGCAATTTTCAGCTGAGATCAGATCCAAGAAAACCAATGCCATTCAACCAAGCCAACCCTTGGTCTACATTGAAGAGAGACAAGGAGGATCCACGGTGAAAATTATAGCCGTAGTCCTGATACAAGCGAGGCCTCGGGTTTGCCCGGCCAACTGACCCGGCCAAGTATTCTTCTTATCTTTATTTTCTTTATTTTTTCAGTTATTTTTGTTAGATCTAAGATCTTATTCACGTTTCATTCAATATTTCGTGCCTTTGGATCAATGTTGGCTCTATCACTGATATGAGAGAAGATCTGCTAATTTCTGAGTAGATCTGGTCTCAGATTAGAACTCGATTGACTCACACTCTCTATCACTTTTAATAATTGAGTTTTATGGTGTTCACATCTGAGGGATCTTCCTCTGAAGATCTCTCTGATTTGCACTTTAAACAGTTTCGCGCCCACCGTGGGGCATTTAGAGCCAAATCTGTGCATAAAAAAAAAACGCTTGAGATATTTTTTTGAGGCCTTTTTTTTTTTTAATATCGTTTTATTTAATTGTATCTTGCTCTAGTTTCTTTTTTTTTTCCCATAATTTGGTGCTTACCAATTTTCTTTTCTTCTTCACCTCCATCGATTTTGCATCTTTGGTTTCCTGTTAACATTAAAAATAAAAAATTTTGGGCTTTGATATTCTTGTTAACAACGTTTGGATCAATTGCATTTTTCACAAAAGAACACGTTGTTTTTTAGATTTCTCTAATGCTTCTTAAAAATAAGGAAAGAAGGTGTTGGGGATAGGGATGTCTTTTCTTTAGTATTTTATGTGTTAGATGGGTCCACAAGTAGTAGATGGGCTTATCTTGTTTCTTTTTTAAGTTATCACATAATAGCATGGTGAATTAGCAGTACTGCAATAGTGTACGGTCTCTTAGAAAGGCAATACGGAGGGGTGTTAACATGAGGCATTAATGATTTTAGAGGCATTACAGGGAGAGATAGTTTGCTGTGAGTTTAGAGAGAGCAACAGGGAGATCAAGGATTTTTTGGTCCTATTTTTGAAGTATGATTTGTGGCGTGCTACAATTTTTTAGTTTTTTTTACTCTGAGCTTTTTGATTGGTATCTGGGATTGTGAAGAAATAATTTTTCTTGGCTATCTGGTAATTGTTGGTGGGACAGTATCTCTTCATCTTGTTGCGTATATCTTCAATATGGGTTTGTTTCTATCATCAGAAGGATGAGGCGCCTCTCCACCAATTCCTAAAACAAAGCACTTTTTAGGCCTCTTTTGTGTTAGGAAAAAAAAAGGAAAACAAAAGCAAAGGATTATTCCTTAAAAAAAATAATAATAAAAGGAAACAAAAAGAAAAGAAAAAACCTGATACCCTCTCTTGTTAATAAAAACTGCAATTTCAAGTTTTCCCA